CCCCACACACACACAAAATCCCATCAAAGCGCAGAAATTTCTTATGAACCACAGCGCCCTATGGTCAAGCTTGGCGGACGCAGGCGTCCGACCCTTCTTAACTCATTGGATGCGCGAATTCCGGTCATTCGGCAACGGTTTTAACTGTAAGAGTTTGTTTGAGTGTTTTAAGTGAGAACTTGACAAGCTGTCTGAGTTTGAGATAAAGATTGAAAGAAGGAGCAAACTACACAAGAGCAACCGCCAACCACTCAGTTTTAAATATAAAGAAAACAGAACTTAAAAATCGGAAGTATAAATAACAGCGAGTTGTTCAAACGTTGTCGCGCAGAATGGGTATCCTCACAGAGTTAAGGAGTAGTTTTACACGACGCCCGCTGCTGACCGCTGAGGACCACCCGTCGTGTACTCCACCGAGAGGCTGTGCGTGCTGTCTGACCACACGGTCCTCCACACACGGTTTTTTTTTTTTTTTTACCCAGTTAGTTTTAGTAAGAGAGTTTTTACAGCACTTGCAACACAATAAGGTCATGAGAGCCGGAGAGAATAGATGTGTTACAAGAGAGTTAGTTTTAGTACAGGTTGTACGGCCCACGCAACTGCATACGGTCATATGAGCGCCAGAAGATTAGAGGGGCGTTTCAAGAGAGTAACAGACATGTACATAAAAAGAAGGGGAGAAAAGGACGATAGTTGTTTCATAGGAAAGAAGAAGCAAACCACAACAGAGCACCCGCCAACCACCCACTTACACATTTCCCCATAACTTACCAATATCAGTACAAGTTTTACGGCACTTGCAACAAAATTAGGTCATGAGCGACAGAAGATTGGAGGTTTTAGTTTTAGTAGAGGTTTTACGGCGTTCGCAACTGCATAAGGTCATATGAGCGCCATAAGATTAGAGCAGTTACAAGAGAGTAACAAACATTTTAAAAAAACAAGAAGGGGAGATAAGGACGATAGATGTTTGACAGGAAAGAAGAAGCAAACCACACCAGAGCACCCGCCAACCACCCACTATTTATTACCCAAAGCCCAAAACGAGTACAACAACGACCGACCGATTGCGGCAGATGTACGCCTCGATCCTTCAGTAGAGATTGTTGCTTGTTTTTTAAAAAAAATAGTTTTAGCAAGAGTTTTAGTTTTTTTGTTTTAGGAGAGGTTTTACGGCGCTCGCAACTGAAGGTCATATGAGCGCCAGAAGATTAGAGATGTTAAAAGAAACATAAAAAAGAAAGAGGGGAGATAAGGACGATAGGTGTTTGATAGAAAAGAAGTAGTAGCAAACCAAACCAGAGAACCCGTCGACCAGTTTAGCGAAGCGGCACTTGCAAAACAAATAGTTCATATAATTCTGGAAGACTAGGTGTCACGAGACAGGTTTAAAAAAAATAATTTTAAAAAAGGAGGAGAGAGAAGGACGACAGATG